CACGTGTCCCATGGGACACCATGGGACGGCCCTAGCTGTCTCATGCGACACCATGGGACGGCCCTAGCTGTCCCATGGGACACCATGAGACACGTGGGACGTCCCAGGGCTGTCCCATGGGACGTCCCACGTGGGCTCCCAATAATGTCAGTACCCCCACGACTGAGCAAAGGTTTGGTTGTGCAGTATATAAGAGTTAGTATAGCGCCGGCCGCCATGCTCCATTTCTTCGGGCAGTTTTCTCAAGTATGTCCAAAATCTGAGCCCCGGTTTCTTGGACTGTTTTTAGACTACTACATTACGGCCGGGCCGGCGCTGTATCGCCCGCAAAGGTGCTTGTGTCACTTTCTGGGATCCGACAGCAAGCAGTGGTTTCGGAACCGGTCGTCTTGAAGTGACCAATGTATTGTGATTGTACATACGTGTGTGTGTTGTAATGGTATTTGACCCCTTCTGTGCGGCGACAAAGGGAACGGGGTCGAAGCAGCAGAGTCGCTGCTACCTCGCGGCTCATCAGGAGCCGACATGCTGAAGCAGGGCCAAGGCTGTTGCCCTGCCGCTATTCAGCAGACGACTGCAAAAAAGCGAAAAAATCAAAATCAATTGAACGCAAGAATCAAGCAACACGACCAAAACCAACAACGCCAGTGTAATGGTATTTGACCCCTTCCTTCAGAATCAATCACCTTTGAGCTGTGTGGAACTCTCTTGTCCGACCACAGTAGCAGGTTGTTGTTGCTTTCCGTTGTTCTCTTTCTCTTGATTAACGCTTTCCAAGCCAACTCACAACATCCCCCGCACACGCGATCATAGATCACCTGTACGCACACACTGAACAGAAGGGCACATGTCTCGGCATAAAGCCCTGATCTAGCATGACGTCACGTCTCATCATCCGACGGCGCCAAATAACCATGATCAACCACGATCACTTGTCTACCTCCAAATACCATAACAGTGTACTTCGAGCAAAAAAATGAACTTATTCCTACGTGGTGGTAACCTCGAAACCTCTAGCGGCAACGCCGTAAGTTCGAATCCCTTTGGGGTGAAAATCACAAATTTGCAGGTGAAACAAGGTGAAAGCGAAAAAGCTGAAAAGTTCGTGAGTACCAAACTTCGACGTTAGCACCGTTGACGAGGGAAAGGGACGGCTGGACCCTTCTCGCGAAAAAAAAAAAAAAATCAGTACGCAACGTAGGAGGAAGGTAGGGCACGAAAAAACAAAATAAAAAAGAGAAAAACCCCGGTGTTTACCCCCTCCTGTGTGACCCTGGGTAGTTGTAGTTGTACGCCATAACAAATAGGACGAAAACGCATTCCCGGGGGTGGAAAACGCATGTACATACCAACGAAAACCAGTTCCCCAGCAGGTCGAACTCCGCAGGAACTCACGCTTCCAACATTTCAAACAGAAACACGCGACTACATTTTCTTTACCGACGATAACGTATGCAGACAACCCTGACCCAACCCAATGTCTCAAAGAGAAACGTACGACTACAGTCTCTCTACCATCGGCAACGGATACAGATGCCCTCCCTCCTCTTTCGCAGGCACGGCCAAGCACCAGTCGTTACGCGGCCGGATGGTTGGGTAGCCTCCCTCACCACCGTTCCGGGCTTCAAGGGCAACCTGGCCGACGAACAGAGTGCTGTCGTACTCGACACCGTTGTCGTTGATCTTCACGGGACACGACACCACATTGTGGCAGATCTGGCTAGTCTCGATCAGCGGATACTCGCACTCGTTGGACTTGTCCGGGACGGCGGTGTCTCGATATGAACCTGTTCCGGGAATTTCTGTGTTCCTCCCCATCCATGAACTTCCCGTCCTTGTTGAAGCACGCGAAGGCGGACAGCCAGCCCGTGATGTAGCTCACTCCCGAGCCGCCGCCAATGTGGGAGACCACCTGAAAATAACAACGTCGTCGTTCGTGTTTTATGACTGTAGCCTAGCAGCACTGCTTGAGATACGAAATACGAAGCGGAAAGAGATCACAGAAGTTCGGGATGTTGCTTACCCGGCCTCGCTTTCTGGACGTGCCATAGGGAGACCTTCATTGCCCCTTTCATTGGCGAGGACCGAACTCCCCATACAGAGTAAGCACCTTAAGGGGTCCCGGTACACGACCAACACGTTTCCAGCACGCGTGTTTTGTTGGTTGTACGAAAGCAACTACATCTACGCTCGGGAGCATACCTTGTCCCAGAACTGGAGTGTTTCCGTGCTGTCCGGGTGCTCCGCGGATTCCACGAACCCGTCACACACCTTCCGCAGGTACCCCACCCACACCTCCATGACGTCCCCCTCCGGGTTGTCAATCACCTCGAAGTCGAGCAGTCGCTCTACCTTCGCTCGCAGCAGCTTCCAGTCCTGCACCGTGCCCATGAGGGTCACGGACGGAAGCCCGCACTCGGCGTGGATCTCGTACGAGAAGTAGGCTTGCAGGCTGGCCATCGCCGTCGCCGCCGCGGCGACCTCGTCGGTGTCCGTCGTGGTCGTGAAGCCGGGCTTGAACCAGTCGGCGAGCTCGGGCGTCTTGATGTTCTCCCGGATCTTCGCCAGCATCTCGCGAATCAGGGCCGGGTAGTCCAGGGAAAATAGGTTCCCGCCTCCCTCGACCCCGAGTGCCTTCTTGCCCTCGTGGTCGACGATCCTGTCGCGCAGGCTCTCCGCGTTCTTGTTGACGTAGAGGCAGAACTGGGCGAGGATCGTCAGCCACACGTCGTCCGGCCTGAGCACCAGGTCGGCGTGGCGGTTGTACGCCGTCATGATGGTCGAAACGAGGCCCTTGGGCGAAGGAGATAGTATATAGTCGGCGCCGTTGCTAGAGGCGACCGCGACCTTCGTGTGTGCGGCCCCGTGGCCTCCGGAAGACGCAACTATCATTCCGGGAGTCTTGTTGTCCGCAGAGGAGGCGAACTTGCTGGGAACGTAACGGCAGAAGGGTAGAAAGAGAGCGCAAGGTGAGTAAGTGATAGACAACGCCGAGATGCCACGAAGATGCACATAGCATTGCAAGACACGACGGGATCCCTGGAGGAGAGAGAAGAATCAAACCGCGGGTTTGAGCAGAGTGGCAACCACACGGGGAAAGCCTGACTAACCTGCCAAATAGGAGTGGCGTAGGTCCTTCGGCGTACACGGCTCCAAACGCGGGGTGATGCTTGAAAGTCGTGTGCAGCGATGATGACGGGAAGACCTTGTCGAACTCGGACGTAAACTCAAGATTGGTCTTCGAACTCGCCGGTGATACCGTTACCTTCTTCCTTTCATCGTAGGTTGTGATTCCAGGACCCCTGAGGGCATCTGGCACAGAAATCGTCCGTGACACTCCGTTGGTGTCGGCGGAGGTGGCTGCGTCGACTGCTCCCGTGCCAACAGTGTTTGCTGTGACAGCAGGCCCAGCAGTACCAACCCGCAGCCTAGCAAGAGCTTGTTGCCAAAGGGCAGCGGGGTGTAAGTCCTCGCCTTTCCCGGCATGATCGTACAGCACCGTAGCTGCTTACCAGTCACACGCCTAGCTGACCCTGGGGGGGACGGGGGCGTGACGGGAAATGGCGGTGACGTTGTGCGCTTGTATATTTTGACCTCCTGTCTCCGGTTCTTCTGTTTGCTGCTTCAAAAAATCACGCAGGTGGTGTCGGGTCATCGATATACTGAAGCAACACTGTTTGGACACACGCCAAGGGGGGTGGAGATGTAGAACTACCAAACAAAGCTGAAAACGATACCTTCTCCCAGTTGTTGTTTAATTAGCGTAGTTCACCTCTTTGAAGACAACCGAGAGGCACCCAAGGCAAGCGGCCGGTGTACCCTGGAAATCCTACGCTCGACCCCATGGGACACCCGCGCTTGGTGTGTTTCTTGCCCTCCTACCCTTGTAGGTATTTCGTGGGACGTATCGGGTGTTCACCTATCAATCTATGGTACACTGATTGTTGCTTTGATGCTGCTTGATTGAAATGATATGCTTCAAACAGAGCTGCGACACCAAGCGCCAATCGACGCCGGGTACTTCGTGTACAACTACCAATAGCCTCGCGATGAGACTGCCGGTGTGCATTGCCATGATTGAAACAGCCCACCGAGTTTTAATCTTGGTCCGTGACTATTTCACCGCTCCAAGAAAATCCACACACAAGAATAAGATATCGTGCATGGCGCTTCGAAACGACACGTGGCGTGACTAAAAGCCACGGAAACCTTCCCCGATCGCTCCATTTTCTACACCTCGCTCGTTTTCCTATCGAGGGTGCTCAGGTCGGACATTGCGGGTTCCATCGGGGGAGGGCCGCTTGTGTTACGCGTGCACGGGAGAGCCCCGGACTAAAACAAGAGGAGAACGCTTTCACTGGTTGTAGTTTTCGTTGCCCTGCAGTGCTATCTTCGGCCAGGGTGGTGCTATTTTCTTCTGCATCTTGCGGAGGGCGAGTTCGGCGCCTCAGACAGTATGTCCTCATCTTCGCGTATTCCCACAAAGAACCGCCATCCATGTGCTTGGTGCTCGCGGGCAAACAACCGAGTTCGGACTCCAGTCCCCCCCAAGCAACTTACCCCTGTGACGGTGTTTTGAATCTTTGTCGTACGTGTGGAGGTCACCGGCATCCAATGGTGAGACCACGCCCGTGTGTCCGCACATACTCCGAAATGTATCCACACATACATATACGTTGTACCCAAATACCCGGTACATACGCGTGCCACATTGAAAATACGTTTGAAAACTGAGGGAGATTGCATGCCCCACGACTAAAAGGGTGCCACACAAAAAACGCCCGACCAGTACCTAACACATATCCTCTACACCTTCCCAACATAACATAATATTATATATGAGACACACAGGACAGCTACCAAACTGTCTTGTTGAGCCTGTTACCCGCAGGGGAGATGTCCCTATGTGCTGTCTGGGAAATCGTAGACATACAGGTACTTTCTGACGCTATGAATCCATTGCTAATCTGTCTCAGACTCTTTTCTATGATAGAGATGGTTTCGTTGTGTCATATTAAGAAAAATAAAATAAAATACAGTAACCGACGTCGAAACTTCAATACACAACGCGGATGGCATGCACTTTATATCGTTTTATTCCGTTTCTGGTGGGCCGTGTCGCGCGGGGTGGCTCTACTGGCGGAGTGCGCTCATTTGTGCGTACATCACGGAGGTGGCGCATGTCTCAGAAGGTGCCATATCGGGACTGTTTCCAGCATCACGAAGAGCAATAGTTTGCCGCGAGAAAGGCCCTCCTGCTGTGCAGCAGTCTTTCTACAGTAGTGTGTATTTATTTTTTCTAATATAGCAGTACAGTACTACTACTGCTGTAGCAGCGCTAAAAAAACGCTCCGCACCACAGCGCACGGAATGGGTGTGGGTCTATGCACATTTGGAGTATTCGCGTGTACGTACTTCAAAGCGTGGGAATACAGCGCGTACTCTCACCGGCGTGCACCCAGCACGTCTTTGGCCGTATCACGGCGGACGCGATGCAGAACCAAAGCTGATGGCATGTCCTCTCCGGAATCATCAAAGGAAACGGTACGCAGAGGAGTCCTGCCGCTGTAACGTGCAAGAAGAAGACATGGTATCCTCCGTTTGACAGTACTTTCGCTCACCGTCGTCTTCTTAGCGCTGAACTCTCACGTTTCTTTTGCTCCGTTTGCACGTCTGTTTCGGCACAGGATCCGTGTGTGTGATCTGTGTGTATGTACCTACTCTCCGTCTGGACCGTTCCTCGGATCTTTATCGGCGGAGTTTGGCGCAACTTCTTGTTTGGCGTTTTGCGGGGCAGTTTTGGCGTGACGGGTGCGGTACACGGGGATCCATGACGCCTTCTCGTCTCTCGCCTCTATCTCCGCACCAAGGATTACTAGTATCGCACAGTCTCTCTGCAGTGATGGTGCAGCTACACCGCCGTCACTACATGGTCGAAGTGATAATGGAAACGCGTAAACACGTGTCGATTCGACGTGTGCGGCGCATTAGTCCGAGGCGGTAACAACTTGTAACAACGCATCCGCCTTCGGTTCTTTCGGTGCGGGACATTGCTCTCAACAAAAGGCAACGTCACCGGTGCTGAAAACTGCTGTTGTTTCGGCTTTTCGGAGTAGCTGTTGGGGCGGATATATTCAGCGACCGAGTGAAGTGAAGTTTCTCCATTTCATGTGCGATGTGATTACGGCAGTATATCCACTCTGCACGCTGCGCTGCACAGCTGCAACAAAGATCTCGAGTGGAGCAGCCTGGAAGCGTGGAAGCACAAAACCGGGTCTTCGCGGACTGCAGTTTGAAGAGGTGTCCGCGTCTCATATACTACGGCCTGGACCCCCCCAGCTACGGCCAACTCGGCTTGCCACACTGCTGTGACTGCCGCAGTGCCTTAGAAACAGACACACGATGCGGCCGCTGTGTGTCCTCCTTCTGGGCGGAACTTACCACCCGCGCGTGTCGAGTTTTCTACCTCCACCCGCACCGTCGATTTCCTCGTCCGTTGTGCTGAACCCGCGGCAGCACCCCTGGCGACGAGAAGCGCGATGTGCTCCTCCTCCGCGTCGTACGTCCAGACGTACAAGACACCGCAGCAGCGGTAGCAGCAGTGGCACCGCTGCGGGGTGCTGGTGCACCGCCCAGGGCGATGCCGCCAGACGAAGATCCACGTCACCGCCCGCAGCGTTCGGGCGGGCGGTAGCGAGCTTTCCGCGGTTGCGACGGGCAAAGCGTACTTCTGCGTCACAGGTTCAACACGCACGACCACCACAACAGTCAGCATGTTCTGCCGCGGTTAGCGGTATCATCATCCAGGGCACCGGCAGCAGCAGCAGCAGAAGAAGAACAAGTAGCAGCAGCAGCAGCAGCAGCAGCAGCAGCATTGGAGCGACAGCGACCAGTGTCGGCAGCAGCAGCAACACTAGCAATACGGTAGTCGGCGGGACCGTCGCGTTGAAGGCGGAGACGAATAGCCCGGACGAGGATCCCACCGCGGCGGCGCATGGGTTCCTCACCGAGTTCTTGGACATGAGCGAGGAGGTGGGCGGGGGGCATATGATATGATGCAGCAGCAGCAGCAGCAGCAGCAGCAGCAGCAGTTGCACTGCTTGCTGTGAATTGCTTGTTGCATTGTTTGCGGCATGATTATTGGGTGTAGACTGACTGCAACATGATGTTCGACAGAGTATGTCCTTCGTCCCTTCAGCAGTGGTACGTGACTGCTGTTGGACATACGCGTCGTGTGCGACTAACAGTAGTAGTAGGGCAACGACGCCTTGACGTGCCGACGAGGGTTTACATACAGCAATACATTTACCCACGACGCTGCATGCTTGTTTGCGTCTACAGCAGTCGCAACCTGTTGTTGTCCCATACAAAATGTCCAAGCTTAGGTATTGCCGCATCCATGTATGCCGCCAACGATTCGCCACAGACTGCACGGTGCCAAACGGTCGCCTTTGTGCATCATCGTGGGCACCTGGCAGTGCTGTTAGGATAATCCTAGGTCCAAAGCCTTCCTGAACCTAGCTGGCTGCGACGTCTGTTGTGTGTCACCGCAGCACGAAATGGCTGAGAAACATGTTCCATGAGCGCATCGGGAGCGTTGTGCTATCCTGCTACCTTCGGCGGTGCCCAACCGCTCTGACCGGTCGATTTACACATTCACACAACACCACAAAAGATATGCGACCGGTTCCCGTGAAAAAGCAGTGTGAGACGATCTTGGGGACACTCTCCCCCCAACCCCCGCCCCGCAACACACCCTTGACCGCCTCGCCTGAGACAGGAACTCCGGCAGCTGTCAGCCAAGTATCAGTCGTTACCTCCTGGTCGAAGAGGCCCCGACGAGATCACGGTAGCCGGGCCAGAGCTCGCCGCCGCCGCCGCGAAGGCCGCGGACGACGCAGCAGCCGCCGTTGTCGTCGCATCTGCGGGGCCCCCTTCGCCGGGTGGGCAACACGCCGGCGGAGTCGGGGCGGTGGGGACGGTGAGAGACGCGGCGGACCAAGCGGCGGCGAGGGCGGCGGGCATCGTGCTTATCCCGGAGACTCCGGCGCTGGCCTCGGTGCTGTACGCTCAGCTGGGCGTGCCGAAGGAGAGGGTGAAGCGGTTGCTCCTCAAGTGGCCCAGGCTGCTGGAGGTAAGAGAGGGGTCTTGCGCATCATTACCGGCCTTCCTTCCACAACGCCCGAGCAGGGGAGGGGGGCGTACTCGTGTTTTTCATGTCTTGGGGGTGCTTTTCCGTTGGCCTCGGGTCTGCGAGAGGGAGGCGGGATTTCGAGATCATCGTGTAAAAACGCTTTTGACCTATACAGACCCATCGACGCAGTTGATGTCGACTTCCGTCTGTCTTCTAGCATGACGGATCCGCTTTTGCGAAATCATGCCCACGAGTGGGATCAGGCATTTGTTGCGCTGAGGATGTAGCGTGCGCGAGACTGCGGGGGAAGGTAAGGGGCTGGGGGGCGGAGGTTGGGGGATAGAGCACCCTTACCCGGTTGCGCAGCAATGAATTGGTTACCACGGAACGTTGATGAGTGAAACGGCTCCCGCCTCCGGGGAGCGGGTGAGATGGTGGTAACAGCCGGAACAGAACAGACCTTACCGCAGGAGCAGTTTTGGAAGTGATCAATTTCATCCCAGTAATACGAAAGTAATTCCATTTCCTCAGAGGAAGATGTGGAGTACGAGGGGGGATACACAGATCGGCCCCCGCGAGCGCGCCGACAGAATAGGCCAGAAAAACAGCCGAGCTGTCCATCTCCAGGAGCAATTCCGTAGTCCCAACCAGCAACAATGTTCGGAATTGTTGCGCGCGCGGGCAAAGAACAATACAACTGCCACATGGGGCGTGTTGGTAGGCTAGGCGTTATCACCGGTTGAATGATCCCTTTTCGGCTAAGCTCAAATGAACCCCCTGACGTGCGGATCTGGTTTCAATACGCATTGCCTGTAGAACAATCGAGCAATGAATGTTACTCAGGCAGACAGGCAGCACAACTTTTGTGTCCGCGGCGTGGCCAGATAGCGGTCAGGGGCACGGCAGATTCGGTGCGAGGAATGGTGCTCGGCCCTGTTGTGAAACGCGCGCTGTTTGCTCGGCGAAAAATTCCGCTGGAGCTGGTCGGAAAAGAGCCTGCCCCCCTTCTCCCCTTGCACCCACCGATTGCCCCGTCTAAAGCGCTTGACTGGTATAGTGTTCCCTCCCATTGCGAGGTCAATGGTCTAACGA